TGTCACTTGATGATTTAAACCTCAATACAATAGTGAAACATATAAAGTACATTTGATGAATCTCTTACTTAAAAACAAATACTTTGTAACAAGATTTTTATGAAAATGATCAAAGAATAATGAAATTGAGAACACATACAATTAGACAACGAAAGATCGATAGTCAAACCAGCTCCTTTTCATATTGTTTCATTAGTATATTAAGAAATAGTCTCATAAATTTAAAAAGTGTCATCATATCATTGTATTTGGTTCATCAGCAACTTGTTAGAAGTTCTAGTGCGGGTTATAGCTAAAAAGAGCTCCTGAAACGACAGTACTTATATATGTATACACAGTTTGATGATCATAGAGAAATCTCATGTAATAGATAAGATTCCATCGGACTTGAATAGAAAGATACTAAATGATTATGTGTTTTTTATAATCAGAACATGATTTAGGTTTTGTTCATTTTGCAGAGAATTGTGAGTATGACTTGCGTAGACATTTACTCGGAATTTAGATTACTAATTTGGGAGACTAGCCGTGCTAATTTGTTTACATCTCTTGACAAATTGCAGGTTATCTTCAGTAACCTAGAGTTAAATCACAAGTTGATATTAACTGAATATATCCGTCAAAAAGATATCTACTTTCAATTATGAAAATTGTTCCGGACTTAATAACGGTTCTTATTTACATACTCATTAAGTTTCAACGGAGTAACCCTTACTGAAAAGAGAACTTCCTCTAGAAGTCTTCAGGTTAGGTGCTGATAAGATGCTTATTATATTGCTGTGAGAAATCTCCACGACATTTATTCTTTCCAACTTCTGAAGTAGAAATTTTGAATAGAAGCAAGAAAAATGATAAAGATAGGCGGTAATTCATACATACTTTTTTCACAAGATTTACAAAGCCAGCATTCTATTATAATTCTTAATTTCAATAGTACTGCAATGTTTTCTTATCCCATTGAGTTGTATAAATTCTCCTATTTCTCTTATCCCAGCAATATTTGACATAAATCTTAGATCCTAACGTTGTCCAATGAACAACTTCGATCATGAATAACTTGATGTGACTTGTTGAGTTCTATGTTGATTAAAGCGATAAAAGCATAAGTAAATAAATTGCTGATAGAATTAACATAGGAAGCATTCATTTATACTAATTTTTAGGTCAAAGATGATTAAAAGCATCCGTATGGATTATTTTTAAACTACTGAGTGGTCATTGGACATTCGTGTAGATCGATTAGTTTTTGCATGTACATTATCATTTTCTTTTTTGATATTGTAGAATTTGGCACATTAATGCAAATTTTCATTGCGAAATGGGTGCCGAATAGAGATCAAAGCAGAAAAATTGTGAATACCGACGAAATAGCCCGAAAAGTAATTGTATTTCAGTTAATTACCAAATGTAACTTAACTAATTGAATTCAATGAAATTTTAGTTAGAATCAGCGTATGGTATTGAATCAGGCTCAATTCATATTAATAGCGTTGAAATTGATAATTGGGAACCAAAAAACTATGATCGTGAACTTTACGAGAAAGAACATGAAATGTAAGTGCTTATTTTAAGTAATTTTTTAATTTTATACCTGTTCTCAAGACTTAAATAATTCTCTTTCTAATATAGAGCTGAGGAATTGAGATCGGTTGGATCAATTATTCAAGTAATGATGCATATCGTTTATTTGAAAAACTGTGGTTTATATATGTCTTGCAAAGAAAAATCGATCGATGTTATCCTGGCTCGCATCGAAAGCCATACTTCAAGTATTACAAAGGAACTTAAATTTGATGATGGAAATTCCAATGTACTTGTATTGACCAGATACAAGAAAAACAGTGATATATCATCCAATTCTTTATTACGGCTACGATGTCAGAAAATACGAACAAGTAAGCAACTTTAGATTCCATAAGCTTGTCCATGCATTGGTGCTAATAGTTCCAATTTTTCACTATGAATACTCAAATCAGTACACTCTAAAAAAAGGTGTTCTACAAAACCCCCAAAAAAGGTTCCATAGACTTCAACCAGTTTCGAAATGCGTCCAAATGCTTAGAAAAGGAGTCTTCGATTCTATGGAACCTTTCGCTGGAAAACTTTTTTTTGCTACAAAACTTTAAAAAAGGTTTTTCAGGGAACTATGGATTCTTTAGAGTCTCATATAAAACCCTGAATCGTTTCGTATAAAACTAAAATTTTGCAGGATTTACCGCGAAACCATGGATGGTTTCATATAAGACTCTAAAGGATTCGTATTTTCCTACCAAACCTTTTCTTAAGTTCTATAGCGAAAAGTAAGGTTTTTCAGTGATAGGCTCTTCCCGTGTATCTAAAGGAAGACTCTTTTTTAGAGTTTCATAAAACATCTGTTTTTTTAGAGTGTAGTTCAAGTTAAAAGTATTCATGAACGTTTCAACTTCGATGTTTTTTTTAAACTAAGAAATCAACATGTGAATATGTTTTAATACAGTTAAAGTGTTTTTGAATGTACATAGTGTATTATAGACGAGTTGTTTATGAAATATTGTAAGATATCTTTCTCAAATGGATAGCACGCTGATCACTTGGAATTACCATAAATTAGAACCGAACTATTCTCGTCAATATTTTTTCTTTCGTGTTGCGCATGCGCAGACATAAGAGTGTTCACTGAATAAACATAGTCATCCACGAATTGAACAGTCTTTTCCATCAGAATTTTTCAATTATGAACTTTCCTCAAAATGTTTGTCAATTATGAGATCAACAATATCTATTCATTCTTTAAAAAGTCCAAAAACTCACCAATGAAGTATTGTAAAAGCCATTGTTCTAATCTGTATACGGGAGTTGAAATTAGTGGAACTTTTTTCTTACCATTACATTTTTAAGTGTCAGACCAAAGATATCAACCGATATATGATCATAAGTCATTCTTCATTTTTCTTACCTTATGACAGTCGAATCGGCTTCTGGAATAACCATATCTGTCTCTTGATCTTCATAATTATGATGCAACAAAATTTTTTTTAGTATTTTCAATTACTTTTTCTGTAAGTTTTTCTTTTTGTCTTCCCATTTGATTAGGGAACCAAAAACTTTATCAGACTATAAATTTATATCACATTTCTGCAGTAGTTAAACATTTGTCTGATATGATCTTTATTCCTTAACTGTTTATCTAATCTATTTTTCATATCATATTCGTTTTGTCATTTTTTAGAGCACTGCGAAAATATAAATAGATCCGTAATACCCTGTAATACTAAAAAAAATATTAAATTTTCTATTCATAATTTTATTTGATATGAGAGTGAGTTAATGAAAAGTGAGAAGTAGATTACAACTAATTCTAGTTAAGTGAAATAGTTTCAGTGCCGACTCTTCCATAGGAACAATCTTTGACATCACTAAAAGGTATTTGATTTGCGAAAATGGTGCATACCTATTGAAAAGGGATCCGGTCTTTCAAACAATCCTTGCTTTGTTGTGCATCCTAAGTGTCAGCATTATACTCGAAGAAAATGGGTGTCATAACGAATGGTAGAGAACTTTAGCAAAGATACTAAACTTTTTAAACTTTTAGAAGGTTATCATTAAACCATCAAAAACCTTAGGTAATTTAAAGAACTATTTTCAGTGAAAAATAGATTGGAACTTTTTCGAATATTTCTGTCTGACCCGATTTTTTAGAGAGCTAAACTCTCCTTTATATACATAGTTCTAACGTAACTCACTGAAATGACACTGATAAGAAAGTTACAAAATAATCCTCTGGAATTTCGTAAAAATTTAATTTAGCTTTAAACTATGTTAAAATTTACACGAAATATTATTAAAACTTTCTTAATCTCATTGATTACGTATGAAAATCTCTTCGAATTCGCCTTTTCATGTTTTATTTGCCTGTGTAGACCTAATTTTGGAAATAGCATGAAAAACAAGAAATGTATCATCAAAAAGTATTTCCACTAAGTCTTTGAGGCCTTAAGATTTTGTCATCAAAAATAGAGTTTCTACATGATAAACACCTTTCTATGTTTGGTATTGATACGTCACATCAATCATGAGTTTGCTGTTGCTTTTTCAACATTGATTGTTTGAGCAAATTATCACGAAGAACTAGTAAATTGTTTGCGTATGATAGAATTTTTATTCAGCATACAAATATACACT